GTTGTATTTAAAACAAATGCTACAAATTAACGAATAATCAGAGATTCATAAAGTTTTGATTATTTATCAAACGACGAAACGGACTACGAATGCCATTCTTAAAGTAGATTTTAAGCTTCAACTCGGGATGCTCCTTTATTTCCGGTGACTTTGCCAAACGTTCGTTAAAATCGAAGATATCCTCCGTATAATACGTCACTTTACACACCTGGGAATACGTAATATTTCGCTAACCGCAGCATCCTGCGTCCTCCAATCTGGTTTCCCTATTCAACATCATGTTCCTGAATGTTCCGTGGTTCCAGCCACTCACTGGCACTGACACTCGCGCAAATACGACTCGGTCTGAGAAACGTGTGTTAACTAACGCGATGTCGACTCGTTTGAATATTTCAATAACCGACGAAATACTTTGATCAACCGACGGGAAGTATAAACAATACACCAATATACTTCGTATCGCGATATGTATGTCGCTTATCGGCTCGAGATATAATGTCACGGATAAATACGCGTCACACGAGAGTTATAAAACAACTGGCACTTTTAAAATTAACCCCACCAGTCGCGAAACGTTATCGCATTCACACCTAGAAACAAAGCATATTCGGTGTCCGAAGACTCATAGCCATCAAAGCTCTCAAAATATTCCGAATCTGAGGGTAATTAAATTATCAAATAATCAATTTGTCAAATTATCAACACTGTTATACGCACGACACGTATCAAAAGTGTCGTGCTCGTAATATTCAATCAACGATCGTGTAGACATTAATTAACGCTGCATTTCCGATCGATTCGTACTTTTTTCTGACACCACTTAGCGCCTGACAATGATGACAATCAGGAGCTTATTCCTGAGCAGATTATAAGACGCAAGATGAAATGGCAGTCGGCAACGAGGTTTACAATTTTTTTCTTTTTTTAATCTCAAGTCCTATCAAAATTTCTAACGTCAATAAGAAATAATAAGGAAATTAAACAAGAAAAACAAGAAAGTTTGTCGTATTATTTACTTATTAATCTTCCTTAGATTATTTAATATTTACTTATCGTAATACTTGATCTGCAATTAAATAAGTTATGTAATGAATAAATTGCTTATAGAAATTAAGAATGAAGAAAATTTAAATGTAGAATATTGTGAGATAATAAAATATTAAATAATTCTTAAATCAGTAATTTTGTTAACAGAAAAATTCGACTATTTCGACCAAAATTTCGGAATAGTTAGCAACATTTTAAGAAAGTATCTGAGAAATTTCCATTTATTAGCAATGTTCATTTATATGAACGATTCTAATTAAAGCTATATATAGTTTTAAAAAAAGGATACTGCAAGCATTTACAATTTAGTTTGTAAATCTTGGCTGTGCAACTTTTATACGTTAAACGCAAATCGAGTGCCAAGAAAGTGTTGCTCCGCGAAACGTGCAGATGGTTCCCGCACGGAGCTCAATTTATCCAAGGAAATTTTCGTCGAGGTATCCCCAGGATAACTAAGGAACAACGGTCCATGATAGCATCGAGTTTTATCGGGACATGCAGTATACAGCCGAAATAAGCAAGCGAACGAAACGACGCGAATTTTTCTTCATAGGACTCTTGCGAGTAGTTTATTTCACGGGGATCGCGACACAGCTTCGTTTCTCAAGGCTGTGTCGTTGTGCGAAAGGGTGCGAAGTATCCGTGATTTCCGAAGGTAAGGAAAAAAGAAGGAAAAAAAAAGAAGAAGATACAAACGCGAAGTCACTCATCTCTCTAATAAGTCATCGCGTGAGTAGCAATCACGAAACTCGTTTCGCCCACGTGCGATTTCCATCGCGCGTTTCCCAGCTGCGTCCTTTATCAACGAAAAGCAATTCGTTATGAGAACGCTTTGTGCGAACACGATGTAGCAATCTCGTGGGGATCTCACGACAATTCTGGGAACGAGCACCGTCACGCTTTGCAAAGCCATTATTATTAAAGGCATTATTACGATATAGAAAAATATTTCCTTGCGTTTTAAATATCGTAAAGCTCGTAATCTAAATGCAAAGCTGCGAACGTAACTGCAAATTACACAGACTCCTCGACTACGAGATTGCGAGTATCTTTTTTCTTTTCAAATAACGGATCAATCGTCTTATCGCGCATATCGAAGGTGTTTATAGATAACCATCTATAAACTACCGCATAACGATGCGATCCAGCTCTCTCTTTCTCTCTCTCTAACGACTAACTCGGGATAAAAGTGCATGGAGAAAAAAAGCCGATCGATCGATTCGCGTCTCCTCTCGAGCGCGACCTCGCGCACAGCTAGAGTGGCCCGAGTAGCCGCGCCACAAAAAGCGGCTTGTAGCCACCACCTTCGCGACGTCAATAAATATTTACCTTGTTTTCATCCGTCGTTGTCGGCACGGTCGTAATCGTAAGTGCGAGGCCGCGATCGATGGATATGCAGGAATCGCATCTCTCGCAGGACAGGAAGAGCGTCCTCGTTCGGCGAGGACCGACCCTGGCGCGCGATAAATATTTACGGACGGTTCCCACTTCAGAGTACGGAATCCGGCGCCATTGTACGTAATATCCGCACGGAACAGAGGGGGAGGGAGGGGAGAATCACGACGGGCTCGTCCACCGCGCGATTCAGATTCATCGCAGATGTAATTTCCATCGATACATATTTATCGCCCGCACCGCCCTCTCGGACAAATCGCGGCGATAATGGAATTACCGGGGTTGAGCTGCAAAACGACGTCTACGATATGCTCTCTCCCTCTCTCTCTCACACACACACACACACGCACGCCCTTTCCTTCTCATCCTCTCCTCTCCCGTTCGCGTGATATTTCGCTTTGGATTTTTCCATCGTGCGCGTGTTATCGCGTGACGATGCGTCGGTAGGGCCCGGCTCGATTCCCGCGAGTTGAGCCCTTCAAGTTAATTTATATACCAGAGTATATAATTAATGTTTGGGAAAATAATTTATAGAAAAAACACGGAGTATCCTCCACGGCAAGGTGAAAATAAATTTCGCGCAATGGACGGACGCAGGGAGAGCATTAGTCTGTGTGTGTCTATGTGTGTGTATATCACGCCCTAATTTCTACTCTCGCGCAGCCCTTAATTGGGCTGCTGGCAACATTGATGACGAGGGTCGAGACCCTATTTCATAAGGGTCAATCGGATAGTCCCATTTATTTCGCGGTTTTTGCCACAGCTTTGTGTGTGTGCGCGCAACATACCGCTATACTATCGCAGTCGCTGATACGCTATAAAAAGATATATCTTCAAATAATCCGGCTGGCGGCGGAATATCGACGATCCGAGTAAGCGGGCGGTACACGCGGGTGTATCGTCCAAGCGGAAACGTCGACTGTGAATTCCCGTTCGGCGGTGCACGCGTTAAAACGAGTTGCGTCGGCGGTCGGCTCATCGAGTCAGAAGTGGCGAGAGTGTCGGGAGTTGTTGCATTTAATCAGCTTTGCGGAAGACGTTATCCAATCGTTTCTCACCGCCGCTTCCGCGCGGATAACTGACCAAAGCAGCCCGTCGTTGCAGTTGCAAGCCAAGTTCGGAAACTCCACGGGAACGCCGGGTATGCGAACAACCGTATCGCGGAGCTTATTTTGCCGAGAAAGCAGACATGATAGTCGTGCGATCCTGTCGCGGGCGTGAAGGGAGAAAACTCGCGGGCGAAGGGAAACCGACTCGACCCGAGATCGCCGGGAATTCCGAAGTCTCGCTTCCCCGTTCCTTGTAACTTCTTTAACGCTTCCCGGCTCAAAGTTTCCGACCGGGATCGCGCACAAAGTAAACCGCGCTCGCCTTCCTTCGCACTTCGTCGGCGCATTCGCGTTGTTTTACGCAAAAATTTCAATTAAAATTTCCAATATTATCAAAAGCGTCTCGTCTTGATATCATTTTCCAACTTCCGAGGCCAAATATTTTAGTTGGCCGCTCGGAAAATGCGAATTCCATTAAGATACGTGTCTATCCGACCGCGTGACTTTAATTCCGCTCCGTTTTAAAGGGACACGTGCGATGTATTTTACGCTCGAAGAAGAGATCTCGTAAAGATGCTTGAAGTGGGTGATTGAAGTGAGAGAATCTATTCTACCACTTTATGCAATGATTATCAGTCTGCGAGCCCGAATCTGGAGATCATAAACGGCCGAATCTATCACGTAAAACGTTCCTCAAGTTGAGTGCGCACTTGGCGGTTGTGAGGGTAAAGCATATTATTGATTCCATAAAGGGAACAAATGTCCAGAAGGCCGAAGGAAGGAAAGAAGGAAGGAAGTAATGCGCGATCATGCGTCCTGAACGTTTCCCTCCATCAAATTTCTATCTCCGGCACTCTCCCTCTCTCTTTCGCCCTCTGGCAGGGCTGTCGAATCATAAATTTTTCCCTTGTAGAACCGCGCGGTCTGTTTTACGTCAAACATATCGAATCTTTCATCACCAATATAAAATAACGCGATTTCCGCGTAATTTAACGAAATAAACGCGACAGAGTTCGCGCGCACTCAACTGCACCGATTCGCGCGAAAACAATCGGAAAATACGAGGATGTTGGCTGTTGAATTCATCGGAAGATCGCTGTTTCATCTCCCGCAAGCACGATAGTAAATCGGCACACTCTTGTCAATTAATTAAATAATATAACGAAATACATACGAAATGCACGGAATATCCTTTCAAAATGCGGATCTGATTTCTCCCCTTCTCCTTTCCCGAATATGAAAGACGTAATATTTCTATTCGCAAATTTTCGAGCCTTCAATCACGAGCGCGATGTTGAAAAAAATCCTATCGATCGACTTCTATCTATGCGGACTTTTTTCCAAGACATCTCTCTGCCGTAAGTCGCAAAAAGTCTGGCGACTCGCCAAGAATATATATTATTAGCGCGCCTTTTTCCGGCGTTAAAACATTTTCAGGTAATTATCGCGAGAAGGATAACGTAATATCCTCGTGATAAATAGCATCGTTCGAAGGAAACGCTGGCTCACTTGATTCATGTATGATCTGACGAACTCCATGCTCTGGTCCAAGGCGTAAGTGTCGCTGCTGCAAGAGTCGAGGATGAGAGCGCCCAGCGTTGTATTCGGCAGGAGCTCCGCATCAGCATTAATCTCGTCCAGTACGTACAACATGGCTTCCAATCGTTGCATGCCCTTCTCTTCCTTGACGGCTCCGCACGGCGATTGACCGATGGAGCCTGCGACCTAGATAAATAAATGCATGTCGGTTAATATTTCGAGTCCTGCGCGCTTTTAATCAACGTCAATCAGACGAGCATCGGCGTAATTTCACAAATAGGCTGAGTGGACACTAACGTGGGTGCCCTTGACAAGGCTCACAAGGCCCAGTCAGGGTCCCAGTTAGACGGATTTACAAAACTGAAGTTGCACGAGCGTTACATTCTTGAGTAGGGCCTGGATAGAAGCGGGGGAAAAATCGTGCGGGGTTTTGCCAGCGCTCGTTTGAAATTCCTACCCGGGAAGAAGGAATCATCCGGTGTCGTGCAAATGACAAATTTCGAAACGCTTAATTCGCGTCTGTTGCGGGAGAAAGACGGATAATTAGCCTCTCCTTGCTGCTCGTGTTATCTTTTGAATTGAGCGCGCGTATACACGAGCGATCTGCACGCACAACAACGACGCTCATAGGAAAATTAACGCGATCCAAAGTTCCCGAGGCAACAATGCCGGCTCGGTATTATCTCAGGAGCGATGGCGCAAAGGCTGAAGGAGGCGGAACGTTCAATTTCAACGGATTAATGCCGTACTTTTCCCAAAAGCGGTTCTCCCAAGGTTCGCGCAACATCTCGGTTACAATGCGGCGCGTGTAACCGCGGACCCCACCGCGGGCTTACCGGGACCGAAGGGATCAAATTATAGGGACCCCTTGAATCCTCTCGAACGTTCCGCGCTACTCCGTGGATGCCCGGCTCAACGCTGTTGACGTCGAGCTCAAGGAGTATGAGGAAAGTTATGGATACAGCACAATACTCTGTAAATCCGTGCGGCGATGTTCCGTGTCGAGGGATACCGTCAACCCGAAAAATACACAGTTCGGCCAAACACGCTCGTAAATCCCGGCGACAAGCTCGCGCGCGAGTCCCCGTCGTTGATTTTAATGTTTGCGAAATCAGACGAACCGGTCGGCCATCGTGATTCGTTGCCGAGGAAATCGCGAAACTCTCTAGGAACGAGGGCTTTTAATTTCGACAACCAGGAACCTGTTTTGATCAAAACAAGGGTTACATGGAAGGAGGGAGAAACGAAAGCATCCCGTTATATATTTTGACTGTTGCGAGAACGATCCATTATGTTTTTCGCTTCGAATTTTCTTCCGGCTCGCGTATTTCACATTTCAATAATCTTGAAAACCAGGCTGTTCATTAATGAAGTTAACTCCGTTCATCGATATACTGCGATCTATTCATATTCATATTTATTATGAACAGAAATATTTATAATTGCGATATGTAATAACAGTGCATCGATAATCGTTGTGTGCGTTTGTGTGTTAAATGTTGCATGTTGGTAAATAAATATATATATATATATATATATATAAATGTTGTCGATTGAACTTTATATCGGTGAGATAATGCCGTCGAAAACAAACATCAACGAAATATTCGTCAGTAATTTCGGTGAGCTCGCGCCGCGTCCGAGTTTCCTCGCGAAAAACGGAAAACCGATGTTAACGTAGTTATCGGAAGAGTCTTGACGCCGCTGCCGTCCGCCGAAACTCATCCGGAAAAACTAATCACCCGTAAGAATGGGTCGCCCGTTACTCAGCAGTCACTATATCGCGCGACAAGAACAACCGGCAGAAGAGGAAAGTTGTCCGTCTCGGTGGAAGTTCGGTGAACGGCGGTTATTTTGCACGAACTACTTGCGCGACAGCGATAAATCAGCTCGAAGTTTTCGATATTATTCCACCTATAGCGGGCTGGAGGTAACATTTCACAGGCGTGTTTACCTCGCACTTCGCGCAACGATCGAAGCAGCGGTCGTGCTTGACAAAAACGCAAAGGAAAAGAATCCGAAACCGGGAAAAATCCAAGCGCGACGATAACAAGAGAGGTTTTTGCGAGTAAATTTTTTCGGGGAAGTACTACGCGATACAAACCGATTCGCTCGTATTCACGTTTCAGAATCGCTTCCTTCCGTATACCGCGGGAAAAACGCAATCGTTATCGATCGCAGCGCGCTTAAATTCCATTTCGAGACGGATTTAATCGGCGAGATATTTCGCGTGTATATTGAAAATCAAATCACACATTTTCATCGTTGGGTTCGTTTGATTTTTACACACATATTCTTCAAATCGATCGAGATATTTCTTTCTGCAAAAAATACCACGCGAAGATTCGGGAGGTTTCGTCCGCAAAACAATCACGCGTACACCACGCATACGGCGAACCGCGGCAAAAATGCGCACCGTACAATGTGTGCGTCTCTCTGTTATTTTTCATTTATTTAAAATAAATATATCACACTCGGCATGCGCATGACGAGCGCACGCGCGCTCCGAGCTTCGCAGTCGGCGCTGCGTCAAATTTTTCATATGAAAATCCTGGTAAATCAATTTTTAACAGACAAAAATTCGAACATCCTTTCCAATTCAACTTTTACAATTGCAGAACCGTTCGCTCATGTGTTTTTTCGCTACCTTTCCTTTTCAATATGTGCTTTTTCAGGGGAAAATCCCGCGACGATACGACACTCGATATGTACACGGCACTTAGATGAGGTTTCGATGTTTCGCCCTATCTGCGAGCCGTGCATGGACGTGACGTCAAAGCCGGAGACCCAAGGCTTGTTACGTCAAACTTGTACATGTGTGTGTGTGTTGCGTAACATACATGCCGGGCAATTTCGAAAGCTGGCTTATTTTCCGTGCGCGAACGTAATAAGGCATCTCTCACCAAGTATCGAATATTAAATATACGTGACCCAGTGACGTTTATGGCGGTTGAATAAATAAAAAAGAAAAATCGCAGGATAAATAAAAATAAGTAGAACGAGGTTACGTGTGACTGATGTAATCATTGGCTTCTCTTGGTTTATCTACTGTTACTCATTGATTAAAAATACCATTTTTTTTTAAATAAGCATACGTTTCACGTTCGTCCATATAATATACAATGCAATCCCGACTAACAAAAAAGCGATTTTAATTTAGGCTCGGGGCTTCACCGTACCGTCCGCTTTTTTTGGCAAATTGCGTACGGGGGAGAGAGAGATAAAATTCAAAATATACGTATAATTCCGTTAATTGAGTGCTCCAGTTGTACTCATAAATAGCAACGCAACTTGTCACGAGCGTTACAATAAATGTACGTCGTAAAAAACGAAGGAGCTTCCCTTTAACAAGTGAAAGCGAAACGTGCCTTCGCTCACGAATCGCTAATTGATATGTATCTTTCGATTTTCTTTGCACTTTAACGCCCATCACAAAAAGCTCCCGTCGTTAGTCAATATTAAAGGATATGTCTCGACAAGAATAATGAACGGAAATGTTTATTTGTTCGCCGGCGACGTTGCATCTTTACTCGGGATATTCGTTATTTCCAAGTGGACGAGGTTGAAAGACGAGAGCGTGATTTTCGCGAGGCAATTTGAGACGAAAGAGCGCAGGATATAAAGAGATAAGGGTGCAGCTTCGCGGAGGATACGAGTGCGTACTGCGATCAGGATGTGCGCACATTGAGTCGCTCCGAATGAAAGAGAGAGAGAGAGAGAGAGAGAGAGATAGTATGAGGGAGAAAGGAGATTTCGTACTAATTTAATGTATGCCCAGAAAATAAAATGTAAACTCTGCGAATACATAACAATGCCACTCACGAAAAGAGTAAGAAATGATACGTCGCGTTCCGTGATGGTCGTTCTAATCAATTTGCTATAGAAATGAAAGCTATCATTGATATAGATGGATTAGAGCATTGAAATTCTGGGCAAATTCGGGGCATGACTTGTAAGAATACATTATACAGGGTGTCAAAAATTTTTCAATACATCCGTCTGCAGATAAAACGAGTTAAATTGAACAGGAAAGTCATACACCATTTTGCAAAATTCGCAATAATTTGTGAAAAATTAATTAATCAACTTGAGCGAATGAACACATGCGCTGAGAAAAAGAAATTGAAATTTTCTGAAGTAAATGTTTCTTTTACCATTCTTTTTACCATTTTCTTGGATATTTATTGGTTAGAAAAAGTTTGACTGTGATAACGGAATATATATTTTTGTGAAATATACCTAAGTTTTCTTATTAATTGGTTTATTTGCTAGAAATAAAATTTTATTTCGTTATTTTTATTTAAATAAACGTTTATTTCTGTGAAATAAACGTAAATAAATCTTATATTTCACAAATAAATTTTTAAGTCTTTTTTCTGAGGTGTGGGAAACAGTAGGCCGGACTCTATAAGTATGTTTAAAGAAAGATGGCTTCGAGTTTGTAAAAAAAATGGCTTACTTCTTAAGAGCTTCTAGCGACGATGAAAATCAGCTGCCGCATGTGGTATCCCGTGTCCAATGATCTGGTAGCTTTAAGCGAAGCAACGCAGCGAGCAGCAGGCAGCAGCTGATTCTCATCGTTACTAAAAGTTTCTAAGAAACAAACCATTTTCCTTATAAACCGGAAGCCTCTTTTCTTTGTACACGCCTGCGAAGTCCGGTCTAGCTTCCCGTATTGAGTTCATTCGCTCAGATTGATTAATTAATTCCTCACTAACTATTGCGAATTTTTCAAAATGGTACATGATTTTCCTGTTCAGTTTGGCTCATTCTGTTTGCATACCGCGAATATATCGAAACTTTTCGGACACCTTGTATAAGTGAAAAAGAAATAAAAAAGTAACCACGTACGCGTGAAATGTTAATAGCACTGTTAGAAAAAGATGAGGATGTATCAGCATCAAGATTCAAACGTGACTTCAAGTCTTCATCGCAAAAACCCAGAAAAAGAGAGAGGAGGGAAATTGTATAAGAAAATATAATGTGAGAGAGGAAGAAGAAAGTATACATTTTCGCGCAGATATCATGGAACGCATAGACATGTATTACTTGCACGTATTCGTAAGATTGATCAAAAGACGAATGCTCGGATTTATTTATTGAACGCAAACGGCAAACTTTGCAATGCCGCGCGAAAATGATAGAAGCGCGACTTATCGCGACGGAATTTACCTGCTCGTGCATCGGAAAGATCCCGCCGAGGATAATATCACCGCCGATACGTATCAACTTCGAACTGTCCTCGCTTCTGCTCTTCATGTTGTAACACTCGCTCGTGATCAGGAAGCACCACATCCACGGCAGAATCCTGCGCAGACTCATCTTGACCATTGGGGCTAAAGTGTCCAGCGGCTCGCGGTTGACACCTCGCTGAAACATCAAATAAAATATACACTCTTAACCATGTATCGCCAAATCGAGATACGTGCCTCGAAAGGTCCGTGATTACGTAGGGTTTTTATTTCAACGTGTACCTCCAACTTTGGCGATACATGATTAAAAGTGTAAATTTCATCAATATTTGGAAAGATATGACATTTCTTATATATAAATAAGATTAAATACAATTACCCATCTAGATAAACAGATAGATGAGAGAATAAGCTTATATTTACTTTAAATATAGATAAAAAATAGAAATCTTTATGTAGTTACAAATTTTTTATACTTTAGATATAGGATAAGCTTCAGATGTAACGAAATATATTTACTATATTATTTAAATATATTAACGTTATCGAGACAAATTGCTTAATTTTGGTATTTATTTTTCTTCATCTTCGTAATACTTATAATCAGGAATGTGGCAATGCACTATCAAACTATTTAGGGACATTAAAGGATGTAGAAAAATTTGATTTTATAATGTTTGACAATCCATTTTCACATTTTCTTTCTTCCCTTCTAACGTATTTTTCTATTAAAAACAACAAAAATTAAAATTATTTATATCTTTGAGAAAATGAAAGTATTTAATTTAATACACTGAAAATCCGATTTTCCCTTATATAAAATTTCAAGTAATTTAATTGATATTATGTTCGAATATTAACGATTCATTATACGAATCTCTCGTCTCTTGAACTTACGTATCGGTATTGCTACTTTCTTACATTTTCATGTACGACGGCGGGGAATCAAATCGCGAATCCTTACATAACCCGTCCGCATTAAACTAACATGAGGATGTTCGAAACATCAAAGAGAATATTGGATTAACGTGTTCGGAATTACGTTCCATTTTTCCGAAGAAAACAAGATCGAATGTTGCAACGGCATTTTACCTCGATCGAACGGGATAAATTGACTGTACGGTGTAAATAAATTTATCCGCAATGATTGAATTCTCCTCGCTCCTCTTACGATCTGATTTATTAGCGTTGTCGGCAATAAGGCGTGTAAAGGCCGCTTTGAAGCGATTTGTAAGGGATGCTTTGTATCAAAAGTTTCAATATCCGACGAACGACGTCGTCGTATATAATACTTCGCTTGTTCGCTGAAAATATGACTTTATGGCGAAGGCGGATAGATCGCACACGGTATGTCATATATAAACTATACATGAAGATGTAAATGTAACATATATTATGTATTCGCTATATCTTTGTCTATTTTTAAAGTCGATGCGAGTGACGATTCGTCAAACTGTAAAACTTTTTCCGTTTTTTTTTTTACAACGATCTCGGTTCGGTAGGGTACGTTAAAACTTTTGTGTTCAAAATTTGAATCTTTCTTCGTCTATTATCACATATTTTTCTTCTTTGATAATCCGAATATATTAACCATTATTTTATTATTTAAATGATTTCCGATGATTTCTTATAAGCAAAAATATTTTGTGTTTCCTTTTTCCTTTTATAAATTAATTTTATCACAAAGATGTTGATACAGAATGTGAATTCCGTTAAAATTTACGAAAAGATAGAGGGATATGAGTGATAGTCCTATATAAAATAACCTCGTAAAAATAAAGAGGTATATAAACATGCTTATCGTTTCGAACAATTACTCAACTACTCGTTAGTGTTTTCCAATGTATAGAGTAAATTGTTATCGAGATAGAAAAGAGGTTTTAGGTAAGAACAATGGCTTTTCTTCGGATAAAAGTTATACTGATATAGAATCACTTCGGATGTTTCGAGCTACAAAGGCGCTTAAGCCGGACACTATTCTTCTTTTTCTCTAATCCGATCTAATTCGGCTTAGGAGTGTTACCGTCGCATCAGGATCAAAGTAATTCGCCCTTCGCCCCTTCTTTCTTAATTACTTCGTTGCCTGTTGTCGTAATACGGCCTTGCGTCTTTATCGTTCAATTTTCTTCGTACGCGCGATTTTTACCACCGAGTTCTTTTGGGTGATTGTCTTTGCTTTAACCTCCTCCACTTGTGCCTCATTATATTATCGGGAAACAAAAAGTATCGTTCGTTAACGCGTTTTTTATCTCCCCTTTCTCTCCTCTTCCTTTTCACTTCTACATTTTGACACTAGCCGTTGGTGATTTTACGTATTCTGAAGCTCTTGATAAACGCGTCATTTTCCCCCGAGGGAAAGTTACTGATTGCGAGTCTAAATTCACATCTACAATTTAATTTGCAGCGAATAGTGAGAGGAAAGGATGAAAAACCCTAGCGAGACTTTGTTAAAACAAAATTTCATTCTCGCTCACGTTTTTACGGCGTGTTTTGGTTTCCTAATGTTTCCAACCTCGTCTTCCGAAGCGGCCATTTGAGGCTGAAATTTTGCAATTTCATTCGGGGCTTTTCGATTAATTCAAGATCTCCACGGAGTCGTCGTTGTCGTCGTTGTCATCGTGAGTAAATTTACCGCAAGATTCTTTGTATTTAACGTTTAAACGACGACGACGATGTTTAAATGGGAAATTTCGCGCGGGAGTATCACGTAGACAACGAGATAATTTCTCGCATTCTTATCTCGCGATTGGATTTGCTCCCCTAGGATTACTGTTTCACGTGATGAAGTGTTTGAAGGCGATATGAGCGCAATCGCTTTGGACATATTTCAGTCGCGCTTTGAATATATAAACGTAGATTTCACGATGCGCCATGTAATTCGTGAAACGTCAGCCTTCGGGTATGCATGAAGTTTATAATTGAATTTGTGCTCGCAATGGTTTGTTTTCCAACTCGTAATATATTTACGCAGTTTATTCGATACTAGTCATTCTATCGACAGGATAGAAAGTAATATCCGTTTTAACGGGTCGCCGGTCCTCCGGCTCTTGAAAAATTCGATCTCGTCGGCGATCTTATGCTGATTGTATCGAAATAGCTGTATCGGTGTCATATCAGAGTCACTAAAAAAGAAATTATTTATTTGTAATCGATAACAATGGAATATACGATTCCGAAACGACGAAGATTTTCTCGCTATTAAAGAATAATCAGCGATACTCAAAATTAATATCTTATGTATAAAAAAAGCAGATTCACATTGTTTATCACAACGTGGCGATTAAAGTGCTCGTACGTTGCCGATTAAAGTGCTCGATTTGAAATTCCACGAAACTTTTTAAGAGTCAAAAATATCCGAGGATTGTGATTGTGTAATACGTAGTATAGTGTAATACGTAATAGAATTTATAATTGTTTCCAGAGATGCTTATGAGGTCGGTTCGATTTTTTGCAAACCTCTCTGTGGCGTTATCTCGACGGTCCACATTCGAGAGGGTGCATGCAGCACGCTAAACACTCAACGCCTCGACTGAGATTGAACGGCATTGTATCGAACATGCCGGAATTCAGCAAGGCGTTCCATCGGCACCGGAAGAGTCTCATGAATATAGAACGTCGATGCGGCCTGCGGCGGTGATCGCCGCGCGAATAATTCCGCGTAATTCCAATATCGAAGCGTCGGTATTTTATCGGAATCGACGGGGAATATTCGGACCTCTCTTTCTCTTCACGTAAATGACAGTGGTGTCGTGTATGTACGTGCGATTTTGGCGAAGAAAGAAGCTTCGTCACCGACGATGGTACGGTTTACGTTTTACGACTTCACCAGCAAGTGCTCGTCGAGAAGTACTCTTCGAAAATGTTACGAAAGATAGTCTCTTTTTCTCTCTCTTCCTCGGTTTTTTCTTCTCTCTCTCTCTCTCTCTCTCCCGAGCGAAGATATCGTTTTATTCCAGCGGAAGAGCCGACTCAAAATAATGTGCCGGCTATCTTTAGCAGGCGGGTGGGAAAGCGAATTCGTCGCCGGATAAAGGGGCGCAACGCAAAGGAATACAAACGAGTTTGAACGTCAAATAAAAGAGTGATCGATCGATCACCGGCTACCCGTTCACGATTAAATGCGGATTGATTGCGCGGAGCACAATGAAATTTTCGCGATAACGAAATACGATCGATGCCAGACAATCCGAGCTCATTTTTTCAAATATTAGACGGACATATAACCGATATTTTAAAGATATTCTCTAATATTCTGAAATGTTGGCAAATATTTCACTTTATCTCATATACAACGGTATATTTTAAATTATTCCCGATGTCAGAATAAAAATTCGGGATGCGAAAAGAACAGTTTATACAATGGGCAGTAAAAAGAAATCTATTTTGGGGAAATTTTTCGGCGAAGCATTACGTCGAAAAGAGAAGTTAAAAAAGGCGTTCTTTAAAAAGTAGTTTGATTAATTCAAATATTAATTCACGCGACTTTATAATTAGACCCGAGGGAATCGAAGTTACAGCGAAGGGGAGAAAATCGGGCGCATTAGCTATCCTTCCTATTAATAAATAATTTAACTCATCTTACCGCTCCTCCGACACTCGAAGATTATCGAAACGTTTAGGCACAAATTAGTAAACAATAAAAATTACTATCATGTGACAATATTTGAAATAGAATAAATGTATACTTTAGAAGTTTTTAGTAATCTAATAAGATCGAGGACATTTGAACAGACACAATGGTTCATGTGTCTTTTAATATATTTTATATTTATTATTTTGGTTTATATTATTTCCACTTATTTATTTCTTCGAGTAACAATTATTCACAACAGTTGCTTCCGATTTCATCGATTCGTAGCTTTCCACAGCTCTCTTTTTAGTTGTAACTTTCCGTTCCATCGTATCTTCCGCTTACCATCGCGAGAACATAATCGGTCGGAGATATCTAAGACAGTCGAGCTTTCTCGGGAAAATCTCTTCCGGTTACTTATATCAAATTTCCCCACGCGCGCGCACCGATTCGCACTCGCCCAAAGATACGTTCGTCAGAGTAACTTCGGGCACGAAGGGCACAGCAGCGATAAAAGGAAAGCTCTGCCATCTTGGTGATGTTCGAATCATCGGGAGCGAAATTGAGATATCTACCCGTGCGTGTAATCCCTCGATACACTGACTCGA